AAAAAAAAAAAAAAAAAAAACCTAGAATTTCTTTTACTTTACACTTATCTTTCTGTAGCTAATTTTGCTCATGTAATCTGGAAAAAAGCCTCTATTAGGTAGGTAGATGGCATATAATGATTCATTTCAAAGGAATAAAGTTAATGGAGTTACATCTGTTGAAGGCCTAAAAACTTGTAAATGCTAAGTATACTTATTGATAGTTTTGCAGAGACTGTGGGAAAAAAGATTCCTATACTTTGTTTTTAGTTCTGGCAAACATTAAGAAATAATTCTTTGGCAATGTAAGTCCTATTTCTTCTGTTTGCATATAGGCAAAGTGTGAGGCTCCAGCCTGAGTTCAGCACAACCAAGGTTAGGATGGAAACATGAATGGCAAGATGAAGGACCTGGCAGGGCAGGACTGGCTCACAGTGAGCCATGGCTTGAAGATCTGAGTTGTGCCCTGAGAGGAAACTCATTGTGACCTAAGAAGAAAGAGGCAGTACAAAGTGGACCCAGTTCTAAGACCTCCTGGGCATAGGGCTTTCTGGTCCATCATGTCCTCTCTGTAGCCCAAGGACATGTCTGCATCCACGGCACAGAGGGTAAAACCAGAAGGTAGTTTCATCAGGAGTTCTGTAGGCTCCCCAGCACAAGCAGCACTATCTGACATCTAACAGGATGTGTCACAGGATGGAGAGTGAGGTGTTGCCCTGCATCTTCCTAAATCCCAGCACCCAGCTTTGGCATCTTGAGGGGACTTAGGAGAATGGAATGCCTCCTGGGAAAGGGCACCAGTACCTACAGAGACCACAGAAATGGGGAAAGCTGTGGAGGCCGCTCAGGACATCTCTTAGCACAGGAGACTCACAGAAATACTTGGGGAGGGATGGATACCTGGTAATGAAAAGGCTTGGTAAGAGCTACTTAAATAGGGGTTTTTATCATTAAAATAAACTGTCATTTTGAAAAGCCTGGTGAAGCCTGTGGAGCTTGGAATTTTCAGAGGAGATGGCAGTTAACACCACCTAACTGTAGAATTAGATTTTTTTCCCCATAAGGCAATGATACAGACATCCACACTGGTCCCCTCAACACTCTCTTATCCTGTATAGTAATGCATACTGGCACACAGGCAAAGACTGGATTGAGAAAGGAATACTCTGTAGACAAAGAACCATGTATTTATCTTTTGTGTATAAGAATTAAGCTAAGAATACTGGTATTGACGTTGCTAGTGTCATTAACTGATACAAACAGCCAGAAGAATACATAGCATTGTGTGTCATCTTTATAACTCCTGGGACTTCATTTCTGAGTCCTTTGCCACTGCTGTTAGGATCTAGTTTTACTGAAACACTCGAAATAGGAGTTTAAAGTAAGAAATGAAGTAAATCTGTCCTTCCTTTCTGTTCTCATTTTAAACTTGATTTCCAATAATGAAAGACAAGTGGGTGTGTCACATGTGTGCTAGCAATGTGAAACAGAAATGCTATTCATATTATTGGATTCATAACTGGAGTTTGATTTTTGATGTCAGCTATGGGCTTTGGACTCCTCGTCAATCAAATCAGCTTCACAGGTTAAATGGATTGTTTTTATTAATTTATAATGAAATAGTTTCTGAATGACTTAACACAACCTAGAGATAACATCACAATTGCACTGTTATCAAGTTTCAAGACCTGTTCATTTCACTGTCAGTTGAAATTCATTACCAGGTGAAAATTCTGGAGCTAGGTTTTGCACTGAGGATGGTACACAGCCACTAGCCTTTTTATTTTGGTCTTATTAACAGAAATACTGACTTAGTGAAATTACAAACATAGTCCTCTTAATAGCTTTTTATGAGTCTGAACTTTTGCTTTCAATACCAAATAGTATCTGAAAAACATGCTCACTTTTGTGCTTCTTAAGAAATTCTAAGAACTGGCCCAGATTCATGTGATAGTCATTTCTTAATCCATAGTCACCATGGGCCTCAAGGAGTAATTCTTCAAAAGAATGGAAAAGGCGCAGGTCCTCGCCATTTCCTTCTGTTTCCACGCTTTCAGCATGCTTACAGGAAATGTGCTTCCAATTGGGGTACCTAATTGTATGCCAGAACTCCTCACAGTGCTCTTTAAAACCCTCCACACAGATTATACCAGGCTTTCCTGTCATGCAAAATCCAGTCACATCTAACCTTTTCCCAACATCCAAAATCTTTTTCCTTAGGTCCTGCTGATATATATGGTGACTGTAGATCCACATTCGGAGGAATGTGTTCTTGACTGGCTTTGCTTGTGTAGATGGTTCATACACAAGCTTTCTATTCAGGAAATAGGATGCACTGTTGTCCTGTAGCCACTGGATTGCTGCACATATACAGAGCTCACCTGGATCAAAAGTCCCTATGTAAGAAGTGAGATCTTTGTTGAGAAGTAGCTGCTGATGTCTGTCAAGTTCAGATGACCGTCCAAACAGCTGCAATGCTACATAGGGGTAGCTGTGAGGCATGGTCACTTGCAAATCAATTTTCACCTTAAAATGAAAATCAAATAGATTTAAATACCATAACATCACATAAGCTGGTTTATCAATAGCAACTGCATGATTTTGAAAAATGAGTTATTGCTACTATTGTCAGCTGTGTACCAGGTACCTTACATACATGACTCCTTCCTTTTATGCATTCCTTCTTTCAACATTTATTGAACAACTACATGTGCCAGGTGCCCTTGTGCTGGGATAAAAAAGTGAGTAAGCCAGACACTATCTTTGCCCTTCATGAAGTCCAGGGCCTAGTGAAGGAGACACACATTAAATAATTACACATAGCAAGTATTTAATTTCAATTATGAGAAGCATTACCATGGAAAAGTGGAGGGTTCCACTGAAGTGTGTAACCAGCAGGACAGATTCCATTCTGGGGAACCAGGAAGTCTCCTCTGAGAGAATGGCAACTGAAGGATGAGTAGGAAACAGCTAAAACAGTGGTTCTCAATTGCCCAGTCCACGTGTTACCTATGCTATGCTAATGTTGCTGGAGATGAATGGATCAGAAGATGGAGGTAAATTCATTGTTAGTCTTTAGATTTTTTTCATCGGTATATTTGCTTTCTTTGTTATGGTGCCATAAAAAAACATTCACTCCTTAAAAGCCAGTTTTGTTGCAGGTGATACTTAGATTTAGGAAAATCGCGATACATGTGAAAGGTAGTTCAACTGGATGAGTGAACAAAATAATAATGGCATTATAAGACTTCGAGATAGCTTCAATAAAAACTCCAGATATATTTGTTAAAAGGTGTGTATGTTTATATAAAATTCAAGATATTTACTGAAAACAATTTATAGGGCATTCCATATCTTACTTTCAAACAAGTAAAGGAAATAATACACCTTGAATATTTCTATTTCCTTGACAGAAAGCTCATGTTCCAGATGTTTCCGTTAAAAACTACGCACCTGGCAAACACTTAAATCAGGGCACCTACCTTGGGCTCCTCAATCTGGAGTGTAATTACAAATTCGATTTTTGGTGGCAGCGCCTCCCTTGTGCCTTCCAAATACCTCTTGATATTTGTCAGGGCATTTACATCTTCAAGTTTTACTTCTCCTTGGTTAGGAAACATAGAAAACAGCATTTCCATCTCCAGTAGCTGAAGCTGAAGGCTTTCTTTCACTGAAGCAGACATGTCGCCGCGAAATCAACCTGCCTGAAAACCTCACAAGGCCCAGCCAGGGACGCTGGGTTTGTCAATGCCAGCGGTGTCCAGCGAAATTTCCCGAAGGTCCCTTTACGTGGAAGCAGGTCTGCAGGGACGCTTTGCACTGAGAGCTAGGGACACAAACCGGACACTTATATTCTTCTGCCTTATTTCTTCACTGCAAAATCTAATACTGTATGCATAACATCCCCTAAAACACTCCGCTAAAATCCATATTTCGCGTGTCGGGGCTCCCGCCTCCCGCACTAGATCCGAGAATCTGCACGTTCAACAGGTGTTTGGAATCGTCCCGCTGCAGGTGGCTGGCCGACGCCTGCAGACGCTCTGCAAGCCTGAATTCTGGTAAAGGCTGGGGCCGGGCTTCCGATCCCACCCGGGGCGCGGGCTTGGGTGTAGCCAGACGCTGCGGCGACAGAGGCCGCAGTGACAGCGGGATGGGCTCGGGGTTCCCCAGCCCAGGCGTCACCCATAGCGCCCGTCGCCACCTCTCAGTCCCGGACTCGCAGACTCCCCCGGGGTGGCTTTTTCGCCAGGGCCGCATCTCAGGGCTACGGAGGTTTAGGATTCACTGGCCTCTGCCTCGAGGGACCCAGGCTGAGAGGGTAGGGGGGTTCTCAGAGGCCATTAAATAAAAGATGTCTACAGCGAGCTGGGGGAAGGGAATACCCGGGGAGACGGCAGCTGGAGAAGGCTTCCCGGATTCAAAGGTTTGGGAGATGACCTCGACGACGTGGAGGGGGATGCGGGCCGCCGGCGGCACCACGGTAGGCGAAGTCGCCATGTCGGAGGCCCAGCGACAGGGCTGATTCCCCACCCCCGCCCCGATCGAAGACCACAAGGAACCCCAGCTTCCCAGGGGCGCGGGGCCTGCCGCCCCCAGACGCCCGGATTTGGAGGCAGAGGTTGCGTCTCCGCGGTCGCAGTGCTCCGAGGGCCCGCAACCCTCGACCCCAACCCCCGGGCCACCGCGGGGGCCTCACCCTTCCTGGTCATTCAATGGAAACAGCCCCAGAGACCGCTTGGAACCGCAGCCGCAGTTCCTCAGGCGCGAGCTGCGCGCGACCGGCGGCGGGGCGGGGGCGGGGCCGGCGGATCTTCCTCCGCGGTGATTGGCAGGGGGGCGTGGTGACAAGCCGGAAGCCACGCAGGGCCACGTCTGCGGTTGTGAGGGCCGGCCCTGGGTGCCTACGTTGCCGCTTGAGCGCTTCTTCGCTTCGTGGAGGTGAAGGGGGCTTCCTGACTGAGATAAGCTGGGCTCGAGGCTTGGATTTGAGAAGGGGGACTACTGGTCGGCAGGCGCTCGGTGGGAGCGGGACGAGTCGGATTCTCGGCCGGACCGAGGGGCTAGCGGGCCGGCGGGCTCCTGACCGTGCGGCGGAACGCGCTGGACACACCTACAGGTCCCTGAGCCTCGCGGGCGGGCTGGGCGGGCCCGCGGTCTCCGGCGGGGACCTCACGGTGGAGTGCGGGGAATCTGGTGCGGTGATGCCAGGGCAGGCGGGAGAGAGGCACCGAGGAGGTTTGAAGATTGAATGGAGAGAAGGGGATAGATACTCTTAACTTTCTTAGGGAGGACTTTGGATTTGGCAAATATGCTTTCAGTAAAGGCATTCGCAGCCACATTGAAAGTAGTTGTAGGACCTAAAACACATGGAAGGGTGAAAGCTTATTATCTGGCCTTTTTTTTTTTTTTTTTTTAACGGCTTTTTGGAGTTAACAGCACTGGCTTACACCCTTATGAATAATCATGACACATAGCTGCTCAGTTTTTTCAAGTATGTATTCATCCTTAGGAAAGAGATTTGATCACTGGCATGAGCTAAATTAGCTTGCTGAATGCCAGCTTTTTCCAGCTGGACAAAAGCAAGTATTTTTCACCATTTCTTGTAAATTCTGTTCATTGAAGCAATGAAGGACAATAAAGAAAACAAGATTATGAGGCTACAGCTGGGGTACTGCTCCTCATCTCTGGGCTAATTGGGAATTAATTGACCCAGGAAATGCGTAGTATATGGACTACTGAAGGAAAGCTACTGCCTGAAGTTGAAAACCCCAAGTTCCACTTAATTGGAGTATCCCACAGAAAGCAGTATTAGTGGGCTAAAGGCCGATTTTGTTTTGTTTTGAGACAAGGATCTCACTTTGTCACCCAGGCTGGAGTGCAGTGGTGCTATCTCATTTCACTGCAACGTCCACCTCTTGGGTTCAAACGATTCTCCTGTCTCAGCTGAGATTACAGGCACCCACGAACACGCCTGGCTAATTATTATTGTTATTATTTTTTGTATTTTTAGTAAAAACGGGGTTTCACCTTGTTGGCCAGGCTGGTTTTGAACTCCTGACCTCAGGTGATCCGCCCTCCTCGGCCTCCTAAACTGCTACGATTGCAGGCTAGCCGGCGTGCCCAGCCGATGTTTGGTTTTTAAAAGTAAAGGAAAAAAGTGGCATTCTTGAGGAAGAAGCTACTGCTGGTTTTAGAGAAACATTTTAGAAGGGTGTCCTGATTGTCCTTAGGAAAATGGAAAAAGATGTGGGTAGTCTTGGAGAAGAAACTGTTGCCTTTTGCTTTTCCTTTGAAAATATGTATCTGTAGCTTGGGAGAAATAGCAAAAGAACTACAAAGATTTCTCAGATATTTGGAGGTATGTAGTTTCAGTCCACTGAAGAATCTGACTTTAGGCCTCAGTCCATCACCAGCTATCCATGTTAATTTAGTTTCCCCTTTTGTAAAATGAAATGATCTTTGAGCTCATAGGAGTCTCTGAATAGGTATAAAATCTTCATTTTATTTGAGAGTGGGCCATTTTAAGTGTGCCTGGGGTCCAGGAATAGTCTTGGAGTTAAAATGGGAGGAGAGTTGGGGACAATCTGATATCTGCCCTGTGGCTGCCCAGGAGTGGACCGTACAAGTTGGGCAAGATCTCCTAGTTGGTAATTCTTACCCACAGGACTTACTCTCCTGCCCACTGCTCTCTTAAACATAGGGTTCTTTAAGGAGGTTCAGAATGAGACAGATTTAATAGTTTGGGGTGGCAATTTTTGAAGCATATGGTTCTTGAGAGATTACTTGTTATGCCTGAAATAATATTTCTTAATTTTGTAGCTATGGATTTAGGTGCCGTTACAAAATACTCAGCATTACATGCCAAGCCCAGTGGACTGATTCTTCAATACGGGACTGCTGGATTTCGAACAAAGGCAGAACATCTTGATCATGTCATGTTTCGCATGGGATTATTAGCTGCTCTGAGGTCCAAACAGACAAAATCCACTATAGGAGTCATGGTAACAGCGTCCCACAATCCTGAGGTAATGGTTTTAGTACCCTGATAAAGGAGACCATCACTTACAAGATCAAGCCTTAATGTCTGAGCAGTTTGACCTAAAGTACAAATTCTAATTCTAGGAATGGGCCTTCTCATTTATATGTGCCTTTGAATGTGAAACAACTTTTTTTTTTTTAAAGAGCGTGATCATTTAGTTTGTAATTCCTTAGAGGTTGTGGTAAGAATAAAAAGAGACTGTCATTTTTTGGAGTGTCCATATTGAAGAAATAACAATGTCCTTCCAAATTGATTGATTTAAGACAAAGACATTTTCAGTAATTGAAAAGTGTTTCCTTTATTAAGTTAGCAGTGATTAAAAATATTGGGGATGGGTGGGGAAGGGCAGAGATTATTATAAACTACAGTCACCAGGCTGTACGTTATTCTTCCAGAACTTACTCATCTTAAAACTGCAAGTTTGTACCCATTGGCCAACATCTCCTCATTTCCCTTACCCCGTAGCCTCTGGCGGCCACCATGCTACTCTCTGTTTCTATGAGTTCCAGATTTTTACCTAACACATGTATGTTACTAGCCTGCAGTATTTGTCTTCATGTGTCTGGCTTATTTACCTTAGCATAATGTCTTCCAGATTCAACCATGTTGCAAATGGCAGTATTTTTTTTAAGGTTGAATAATCTGTTGTATACATATACTATATTTTCTTCATTTATCTGTTTATGAGCACTTAGGTTGTTTTTCTTAGTCAACCTTTTGACACAGTGTTACTATTCTGTATGGCCTATAAGCCATTAATACAGGTTTGAGTAATATGCTTCTATTTGATTGCTGGGGGTGTGGGATGTTTGCCTTTGTAGCTGAATCAGCAGCAAGTTAAAGTGGGGTAGGTCTGTGAAGGATCCTAACCTCCTACTCCCCCAAATAAGGGCATTGCTTGTCCAAATGTGTTATCACTAAAAATGTGTAAATGTCTAAATATGTGAGTCACTGTAATTGATTGACTGACTTATACAAAGAGCCTCATATTTCTTGCTAGTTCCAGAGGCATTTCTCAAAACAATTCTCTTTTCTTTCAGGTGACATTCACTATGTGAACTACATTTTCTTTCTAGGAAGTTGAGCAGATCGGTGTTGGGAGCCAGTTTTCAGTTTCTGTCCCACCCGCTGGTTGACAAGCTGGCCAGTGTATTCTTGGAGTTCTGAGTCATAGTGAGCAGGGTCTCCATGTGCCTTTATTCTGCTCCACTTGTGCCCTGGTCAGTTTATTGATAGTGAATGCACAGATCATAACCTTTTTACAAAGGCTAGTGTGGTATAGTGTTGTTAGGCGAGTCAGATAGACTCGATGTTTTAATATCAGTACTGACACTTATTAGCTGTATGATCATAAGCAGATCACCTAACATAACCTCTCTCTGAAGCTCAGTTTTTTTCAAAGTAACATTGGAATAACGACAGGATTATTAGTTTAATGTATGTGTATGAAGAAGATTTAATGAGGTAATAACTATATATATATAATACCTAATCCAGGGTCTAGTGTTAATATTTGGTGTTTATTGTTGAAGCTGCTTAGTCATCACTGTCTTTGGTTGAGGGGAAACGGCTTTTGAGTTCTATTCTCAACTCAGCCTCATGAGTATGTACAGATTGGTTATTGTTTGTTTTTCTTTTAAGGAGGACAATGGTGTAAAATTGGTTGATCCTTTGGGTGAAATGTTGGCACCATCCTGGGAGGAACATGCCACCTGTTTAGCAAACGCTGAGGAACAAGATATGCAGAGAGTGCTTATTGACATCAGCGAGAAAGAAGCTGTGAATCTGCAACAAAATGCCTTTGTAGTTGTTGGTAGAGACACCAGGTGATGATAAGAGTTACTTTTTAAAAAAAAAAAAAAGCAGCTTTGGAGACATGATATAAACAGTTGTATCAATTTTAATATCCAAGACAAATGGAAAGAAGTAAAGTAGAACTACCCTGAGTTGCATGTCTATCTGCATGGCCTTTTTAGTAGGATATTGTAGCTAAGTCACTACTGCAACTTGGTGTTGGGAGCTGACTGGTTTGAACCCTCACTCCAAAACCTAAGCTATAGAATAATGTATGTAAAATACTTCCTGACACAAGAAAAGCACTTAATAATGTCTCCCACCCCCTCTGTAGGTTTATTTTTTTTCCCTACAGTCAGAACATGTGATTTGAACTCATTAATTTTAAAGGTTTACTTTATAATCTATGTTATTGTTTCAAATATTTATATCATTTTCCCCATGCTGGAATTCACTGAAAAATACAATATTATTTTCCACATAGTTACATTTTGCAGCTTTTGCCAGCCTTAACAAAAATATATCTTTTTGTAAAATGTTAGATAAAAAGTGTATTTTGTAACAGTAGCATTTCTTCTTGCATAAGATCTAGTTTTAACCTGAGATTCTTTCAAAACGAAATTTCTACTCAATCTCCCAATGGCCTAGACTGGTGTTTTTTTTTTTTAACCCTCTATTGTGTTACCAGAGGGTCTTCCAGATACTGATGATGGTAGCAGAAATAGCCAAGTGACTTATGTTCCGAAGTAAATTATCCCACCACAGTAAAGCCATCCCACACTATTAACTAATGTAAGTGATAAAACATCTTTTCCTACAAGGGAGTTTTGTAATCTGTTTTATTTTCAGATAATTTGTTCTAACTTTACAAAATAGAAAACAAGTTCTATATCCTTGGTGGCTTAATACAAGTACAGTCTTATACACACCATGTATACTTAGTATTTATGGTTACTGTTCTTAGAGTTCAGACATGTTGGTGTGGTCAAACTTC